TATATTTTATGTTACTCATTTGTATGCTGTTTTTTTGTAGTTGCAGATGAACCCAAGGATTTATGGTTCACTGTTTTCATGTTATTTTTGCTGATTTTTATAAATAATTTAAAAAAATGTTCACAACTCTGCCTGTTCTTCGCTGTTCTGATTACCATTGAAGAATATGGGTTTTATGAAAAGTGCCTCTAATCTAGTTTAAATACATACCATTACCACAAGGGGGCAGGATTTTATGAAATGTCCTCAGTTTGATTATCCTGTGGTTTAGGCTCAGGAGTACTCTGTGGGGGTTGGTAGGGTATGCAAAGTCTGTGATTGAAGACCTTAATCTCTGAAAATGTTTAGCTATCAGGGTTCATGGGTGAATTTGTGTGGCTGTCGTCAGAGACTGATGGTTTAATGGAAAAAAACAGGTTTCATGCAACTCAAGTATTCAGGTTTCAAGACCTCAATTAATTGGTTTGAATTTGTAAATAAATCAGTCTGAACAGCCAAAGACCACTCCGGGTGTTACACGTCACGTTGACATAGTCATTGTGCGATTATTATAACGCCATGGCAAACGAGCTTTTTTAAATGACCGCATTAAAAAGATGTTCCCTATTTTTTAAGCCACATCATTTCCTATGTCATTTAAGCAGGAAATGTCCGCCCTACAGCATTACAGTAAATCATATCTGCAGCTGACCCACCTCTTGCTTCAGTGTGAATATCCTGACTGGTTTGAACTTCGCCACTTCCCAGAATTAAAATATCTCCTTTTCCTGTGAACAGAATATTGCACTGCAGTTCTGATGAATGATGCGCATACTGCAAATTTTTTGTCATATCATGTGCGTTGGTGTGATTATGAGTCCCACTGTACACAAAAGCATGGTTTTTTTGTTTCCTTCTTGTATATATATGTACATTGTTTGCCTTTAGGAAATATATAAATGCTGCTTTCAAATTGTAGCTGCCATATCAGTCTGCAGTTGCTTTTCTCTAAATATCCAGTGAATTTACTCTACATATTATACAAATATATATATATATATATATATATATATATAAAAAAAGATGCTTGACTGAGGTTGGAACAAGTCTTACGTCTCATACAGTTTGCTCCTACATACAGACAAGTGGGTTTGTGGTCGGAGCAAAAGTGCAACTGCAGTGGTTCTCTAAACTGGTCCAGTACTGTGTTGACTCCTCAGTAGTATAGCCTGTTTGAGTTTCTCACAAGCAATGACAGTGCACTGAGTTTTGCAAATAAACCAGAAATTGCAAAATCACAATAACAGCGCGTGTACGTGAGCTGGTGAGGAACTATGTTCATCTGTCAGTACAATGGAAGTGCAGGTTATACAGGGCATACATGACATACCCTGATCCCCTCAGGCCTCCCCTGTTAAGCCAACATTACCTACAATCTTGTTAGTTCTAACACATTATGCAATGTCTTCCTCAGGCTTTTTAAACGCTTTTTCCCTGTTATGCAAATGTTTTTGGAATTGCCAATTGCAGAATCTCCTCCTCACTGAAACCTCTGCACTCATAGAGGAGCCCTCAAGTGAGAGGAATGCAGTCCTCTGATTCACATTCACATGTAGCCAATTACTCACGTCACACTACAAGTTCCACAATGCACTACAGTGAAGTAACCGCTGTTTGGAGGATAGATGCAACCCCACCAATCTGCCATCTCCAAGGCTTGCACGCAAGATTCAGTAGAAGTTACGTGCAGAAGGTTGCATACAGCAGTTAGCATAACCTCAATCTTATCTTTATATGATCGAGTGTATTCGTTTGTGAGCACGTGTGGAGGGGCGGAAGGGGTTGTTGTTCCTGCTGAACGGTGGACAAACTTGACCCTTTTCACTCTCTAACAGTTACTTTGCTCTGTCTTTCTACAACACCGTGCCTCTAAAGCTCTGAATGCAGTGCAGAAAATCATATGATATTCAATGTTTTGTTGCTATCATTTAGTTTCTATCACAACCAGTTTGGAGGGGTTTTATCATTAGCCTGAAATCTCTTTTTTTACACAACAACAAAGACCCATTTAAGATTCCCTTCATGTTTTATTTTATTTCACAAATACCAGAGTTCTAGGCAAATTGCTGATCATTGAGGGAACACAAGAACACGGTGCAAAGAACAGAACATAGAATGCAAAAGACAGAATAATTGTGCAGAATGTTTGTGCAATGTCTTTTGCAAAACAGCTTTATTAACTTTCATTAACTTTCATGCTAGCAACAAATACTGTGACAAGGCGCATGACAAAAAATAGAAACAGGTACAATAATTATCAAAAAAAAATAAAAAAACAAAGCACACATACCAAAAAAAGGAAAAATAATTGACAGAGTTAAAAATTTAACACTACCACTCACCCACCAACCCACACATCCCCGAGAAAGCAGTTTCACTTTACAGTGGTACTTTCCGCCATAGGTTTTTATTGTCCATTTAAGGCACGCTTGCCCACTTTCCACTTCCTATGACTTCCGCTGGTAAAACTGATAAAAGGAAATCTAGACTCATCTCAAAACCTCCCTCTTCCCTTCTAACAATACAATAGTCACATATGATACACATACACCATATAATAATACTGTACATGCAATTACATCAGTAATACAAATACAAATAATCGGTCATTCACAACAAGTCAAGTAATGCGCAAAAAACTAGGGAATTTTTAACACAGGCCACAGGTAACACAGGTACTTCTTTAGAAATTACTTTTTTATGTCAAAATACATATATAACAATGAGAGAAAATACAGCTTTGAACTGATTTATACCATATTGTCTATATTTATTCTATATCAGTGAGGGTTCTGTGCTCTGACGTTCCAGGGACTGACTCTGCTGGCTGTGTCTGTGGTACAGTGCCCTCACCCTGGCCAGCAGCAGCTCTCTGAACTGGTCCCCGATGAGGAAGTAGAAGACGGGGTTGATGACGCTGTGGGCGAAGGCGATGGGGCGCGTGATGATGTAGAGGCTGGTGATGCAGGCCCTCTGCTCCTCGGGCGTCTCGTCCCCGGACAGCCGCGAGGAGATGTACACGTTCCTCATCACGTGGTACGGCGTGTACAGCGTGAAGAACATGGCCGCCGTGGCCGCCACCAGGCACAGGGGCCGGCTGAAGGCGGTGGCCCGGTTGGGGAAGACACCCTCCTGCGCCTTCAGGGTGTGCGTGATGCGCCAGGACGCCAGGAAGAGGGCCAGCAGGGGCAGGATGTAGCCGTTCACCGTGAGGACCATGCTGTAGGCCAGGTAGTCCTCGCCATCCAGGACCGACAGGCTCCCGAAATCATTGCACTGGGTCCAGTTGGTGTTGTTCAGGTCCTGGATGATGAAGATGATCAGCGGGATGATCTGGGCGTTGACGATGGCCCAGGTGAGCGCAGACACCACAATGGCTGAGCCGCGCCTCAGGAGGACGTGCTGGCGGTACGGGTTCTGGAGCAGCAGCAGGCGGTCCACGCTGACCCACACCATGAAGAGGATGCTGGAGTACAGGTTGACGTGGAGGATGTACCTGTTGGTGACGCAGAAGAAGGGAGAGGTCTCCTTGTGGCCGGTGGCGTAAGAGTTGGCAAGGCGGGGCAGCGTGCACAGGAAGATCAGGTCGGACACGGCCAGGTTGAACAGGTACACGTTGATGCTCTTCCACTCCTTCAGACAGAAGACGTAGCCCAGGATGACCAACAGGTTGCCCAAGAAACCCAGGCAGAATTCCAGGCTGTACATAGTTGGCAGGTAATACTTCTGCAGCAGATCATCAAGCTCTGTCCAGTTTAAGGCCTGGGAGAAAGAGAGAGACACACAGACAAACCTTCACTCTCATCTTTATTTTTATAAGATACAAGACCTCTGCAATCAAACCACTGAGAAAGGAAATGCCACACGAAAACCCAGGACTGACAATCTCAAGAAACTAAACTGGAAATGGTGGATGAAGCCTGGTTTTCCTCACATATCTGAACTGAATTTGAAGTAATTTCTTCAGTGAGAATCTAACGGTGAATAAAAGTGTAGGTCGAGGAAATTAAACTTTTTTGCAGTCACAGAACCACATAGCTACTTGCCTCACAGATTCCGTTACACAACATGCTCTGTTCACTTCTCATTAAGTGCTCACAACTGCCAGTGTTAAAGACTATTCTCCTACACTTTCTGCTCTGTGGGACACTAACCTGCTGAGAGACACATGGACAATATTCCCCCGTTTAAAGTCTGTTAGTGATCACCAAATGTATTACCAATTATTACCATTATTAAGCATTATAATACTTCATTTCCCAAAAATGTCACATATCAGATTATTGCAGCTATTATGATTATCCCACTATCACTGTAGTCATCATCAATTGTTTAAGTTATTTCCAGAAATATTACACTTCCTAAACGTATCAAAAAGTAATAGAGCAAATAAAAATACAAATAGGAATATAAAAAATATATGTTCAAAATATCTTTCACATAGTAGACAATATATCAGTTATGGCTATTTAAATGCTTGTGGTCATATGCATATATAGCTGAATTGAAAACTGTATACATTCCATGATGTATGTGGAAAATCTGAAAGTGACATTATGCTACAGTTACATATTTTGACAAATATTAAAATAATGAAAACACTATTTGTAGTCCTTACTGTAGCATACATTGGCTTATAATTATTGCATTGTCTAAGGACAGAAAATCGAGGTCTAATTTTCAGTTTGCCATAAAAAACGCAGTTTGACTTACCATGGTGCAGACTCTGTTGATATATGAGGCAGTGCTCAGTCACCTTGATATCGCATATCCAACACTCTGCGAAGCTTCCTTAAGTATATGTAGATAGTACTGCTATAAGAGGAAGTGACAAACCATGTTTCTTTTTTTCTTAACAGAATTAGCCACAGCCGTCAGCCAACACTGAAGTATTATTAAGTGAATAAAGGTGGGCCCATTCTTTAGAACCATAGCGACTTTAGAGCATAGTGAACAAGGGTGGCTGTGTAGCATAGTGGTAAGGCGCAGGGCTTGTAACCAAAAGGTTGCTGGTTCGAGGCCCCGCCAGGGCACTGCTGTTGTACCCTTGGGCAAGGTACTTAACTCCCAGTTGCCTCAGTAAATATCCAGCTGTATAAATGAAAAACGTGAAAAACTGTATCCATGTAAGTTGCTCTGGATAAGAGCATCTGCTAAAATGACAATAATGTGATGTAAAGCATCACAGACCCATCTCAAAAGGATGCCTGAATCATCATGCACTTGAGAGGCTCAGAGGTTAGAGTTCAGAGGTCAGTAGGTGCCATGTTGTAGACATTATACACACTGCTGTGTGCAGTATATATAATGTGTATAACTAATGAGTTGAAGAGGAGGCAGTAGAAAGGTCATCAATGATCAAAATAATCATATGCATAATTTTGGTTGGGAAAACAGTTCCATCTAGTGTCATGTGGTTTGAGCAGGCCTGCTGTTGGGTCAGTGCTGTGTGGTATTGTAGTTAAGAATGGTCTTGTAATCCAGAGTTTATGGATTCATTTCTCAGTTGGGGCCTTTGTACACTTCAGCAAAGCACTTCATATGAAGTAAATATTGTATTGAGCTGCTTAAATAGATGTCACCCTCGATAAAGACCTCTGCTCAACATATCTATATAGAGAGCAGTTATGACCTAAGTTAACTCAGTTTCAAACTGATAACCTAGGACTGTTTTTTATCACAGCTATGATATTTTTAGCACAGTTTCTCCACGAAAACAAAAATCATGCTGTCGACAAGAATGATGTTTTATCTTTAGTTAAAGCCAATGGAGCAGCAGTGCATCTGAAATAGAAAAACCTTATGTTCCAACCAGGATTAGCCATCTGTCGGTGACACCAAAGCAAGACTCTGCCCAATTTGTTGCTCCGTTGTCTTCCATCACCTCTGACATCACTCCCATCAGCCTCTGACCGCAGTGCACCTACTCCCTCTGAGCCACTGACCCTGTTGGCACTGCAGCCAAACCCTGTTTCACCTGCAAAGGCCACTGAAAACACCACAGCAGCAGAGACCTCTATCATCAACCATGGGACAGGCCTGACAGCACAACTAGTAGCAACTGTGCTATAAAGTAAGTTAAAGAGGCAGAGCAATTAAAAGCAGTGATTGGTCTTTTCAGTGTAGGACAACAAGCAATTCTCCTTCTTGCAGTCCATGCTTACATGCCTCTCAGCTAAGGAGATGAGTCATCACATATAAGAAGGCCTGGCAGAATGAGTCAGGACTGACAGAGGACTGGTAAGCGTGCTAGATGTGATAATCTGACCAACGCAAACAGTAACTAAATCACTTGATTGCATACATCAGGTACACACAAACTGTGACATCACACACAGGTGTTGCTGCTTCTGTCTCCCTCTGGTTTCAATAACGACAGCTGCCTGAAACAAGCGTGTTTAACAGCAGTACGTGCTTTTGTGGGTCTTTCATCTTGATTTATTTCAGCCATTTCTGGTGAGATCTCATTTCCAAGAAATGGCTCTGTGCTCTTCTCGAGAATGTACCATTTATAACCTCTGCGCCACAGCAGAACAGCCTGGCAAGCATGATACATCTTTAGAACAATTGACTGACAAGCCAGAGGACTACCTCACAAACAGGGTATTTGATTAGGACTCACAACCTCCCCTGGGCAAGAGGAATTCTAGCAATCTTTAGTGAAACACGTGTACAGCATGTCTACAGGGCCAAATCCCAATGTGGAGCCAATGAGATCAAAAGCTTATCATTCTCAAAATTAAGATGAAATTGTCTATTTATATGCTGTATATCACAAACAGAAACTCTGCACATGCACTTATTAAACATATTTACACCCCTGAACCCTATGTCTCCCCCAACAGGAGTGACCAGGTACAGGAAAGACCAGGTACTCAGCCCTAGACTCTAGAAACCAGCAGGTTTACTTCAATCCCCGAGGAAGAACGGTTGCACTCATAAAATTAAATTCTCTTTGTGTTTTACTGTCCTTTGTATAATGACTTGAAACCTAAAGTGTTTGGCAAGATGATGTACAGACTTGAATGGTTTTTCATTTTTTGAAATTTTTGAAATTGCTTAGTATATTTACAAAGCCTCAGAGAAATATGTGCTTTATGTATGAATGATCTAATAAGGAGTATGCTGTCTTTTTGTATAATTCTTTTGATTTCTTTTTGTTGTATATCTGTATTGCAAGATACTTCTGAAAACTTTGTTTTTATTTATGGACAGGATTCATGCAGCATTCTGTAATTCTCACACATATGATACATAAAATAGTGTCTTATAAGTCAGAAATAAAATATCCACTATTTTGGGTCACAGCATCCTCTCACTGTCACTTTGTCTCTTTGGAGATCACTCTGTCCTCATATCATTACCCACTACCAAAAAACAATACTAAAAGGAAAGCAGGAAAAAACTCCCCAGAGTGTTATTCACTAATCTATGTCACAATGATAGAATGTACAACTCAGTATATGGGGAATTACACAAAACATGCAGCAATCAATATGTTAAAATCTTTAAAATCCATTGTGTATATCCTCTATGTTAAAATAATACTTTGCATTCTAATATGTATTACTTTATAGTTGAAGGCATATTGCTGTCATAAATTAAACCATTACACATTCAAATTACAGCATAACCTTGCTGTGCTGGATATTAATCATGAATGTTATGATTTATAAACAAAAACGAGGCAGAACAACTTCGAATCAGACATAAAAGCACAGAACATTAATCTGTTTTTATCCAATTTCCTCTGCGCAGTAACGTACCCTGGATCAAATCAATTCTTGATATGTGACTCATTTCATTGGCCTTTTCATGTGAGCTCAGACATATAATAAGGCTGTATCTGAGCTGCTGCATGCATCTCATTAAGTACAGTGTGTGGGGGATTTGTTTGATTCAGCTACATTTCCATGACGACAGTGACAGCACAGAACTGTTAGCTCCTCTGCTTCTTTTCACTGTGTTTTGTGAGCGATGTCACCCAAGGTTATGGGGGGAAAAAAGCACGCTGCAGTTATGATTAATCTGGACCTTAGGTGGGGGGCATCCTCAGAGGGGGCATCCTGACTTCTTCGTACGGACATGAGGTCAGGCCACTCACCTACAACTCCCCCTTTACCCCAAATGCACCTGAAATAGAAAGCAATGGAGAATCTGTCTCATGAGAGGACACACAATCCACATAGCACCTTAGCCACCCTCCGCCCTTAGTGTAATGGTGTGTTGCTGAGAAACAGAAAACAAAACTATTACTTGGAATGGTGCAAATCTGGTGCTTGATCACTCATACTGATCATCATGATGTACAAGTTCCCTTTTCAGTAAATCCTACTGAAAGGGCATACGTGCGTGCATGCACAAACACACACAGACATACACATACCCACGCAGTCATAAACCCCCAAACATATGCACACATGCATGTATATTGTTGGAAAGAAAATGTACTAAGATAATGTGTGCATAAAATAAATTCCCATTCAGTCACACCAGTTTTGGTAGCTAGTTTGTTTTGCTCATTTATGATATCATATGCACTACACTTGACCTGAAAGGGTTGGTTAGAACGGGTTTCCTTCCAAAGTGCTGTAATTTAGCATGGAGCAACACATTGCAACAGTTCTGAAGTATTTTCCAGGTCCCATTGCTTTACCTCCTGAGTTTTTTTCCCCTATCGAAAACACATAGCTGCCTCCTAGTGGCTATTGGTCGTCAGGCGGTTTGAGTCCCAAAGCCGCCCTGAATAACACAGGAGCACAGAGAAAGTGTAGTAATTCATCTTTTTTTTTCAAATTTCTAATCACTAAAAATTTTGTTTACTAATATCAATGAATATATCCATTTGTACGCGCTGAGCTTATGAGGCAGGGAAATGTTATGTGAGGGGTTTGAATGTAAGATAGTTTCTTCATTTCCATAGTGCTTCTCATTAAAAGTTTTCCATAGTTTTTATGTATTATCACTGTACCATTTAAGTAGTTAACCTGAAATAGACTAATTTGGGTCTCTGTCGTTCCGCTTGTGTTTAGCTCATCTGACCAAAGTCGGTTTTTTTTTTGCTCAGACACTGAGCTGTCCACCGAGGTATTTTGAAAATAAGACTATAACTATAATAAGACTATAAGACGGCAGCACTGTTAATTAGTCATCGTCGAAGTTTTAAACTGAATTAGATCAGTATGCTTCTTATAACCCCCTCTTTTATATGCAGACAGAACCATGTAGCGCTTCCTCCACGCTCACGAAATTGCGTGTTCGCTACAAACAGAATGCGGGTAATGTGGTATAGCCAGCAGCGATCGCAACATCTAACAACTCAATTAGAGTAACTCAGTTGAGTGAGACCATCTAAACCAAAAAATTTAACATCGAGAGCGTCACCAATGTAATTCAAATATGTTACCAGTTTTAACGCCATTATTCCAGTATATGAATATGAACAAGTCAATCCATTCGTCTATTCCCGACTTTTTTTTAAACTTATCTGAGGAATATAATGGAAGCGAGAATGCAATATAGTTGCAGTATTTGTTGCAATGTAAATATAAAACAAAAGGAGGACAACTTATGACCGTCTTCGATGATTTAATATAGCTAACCCGTGCTGGAGAAACTTGTTCATTAGTCCTCTGCAAAGCCTTTTGGAGCCAGCAGAGGACAGTATGAGACACCATACTGCACATACTACACATTGTTCTTCTGCTTGTTTCCTGCTCATTCCTTCAAGTTTACAGCAAAGGAGAGAACAGAGGCAGAGCCGGGGTGAAAGGTGAAGTATCCCAACTGATCTGAGGGAGCAGGAGTGGAGGGAGTGAGCTCTGTTTCAGAGATATGCTGCAGGGCACAATGCTTAAGAAAGCCCTTTGACCTTTACTGAGGCTTTTAGTTGATGCATGTAAATGTGTGTGTTTTTTTAAACTGTGGTGACATTGAGATAGCTTTTGACCATGTTTACCTGCTGCTCCCTTCCTCATTGAGATCAAAACCTTTTGGGGGGACATAAACTACAGTGAGTCACTGATGCCCCATAC